GCATTTAATTTTTACACAGGTTAAATAGACAATAAATATCTATTTCTAATGAATTACATACACTTTTGTCTATGCAACAATTTTCAAAAGTAGTGAAAGAGTTAACATATGACATCTTTCTTTTCAATTTTTGCAACACTTTTTTTAATACTAACGCAACGTTTAAGCCTCCCCAATTATTACAACTTCAAAAACAGAACATTGAAATAAAATGGACTAATGGAGTATCTTTTTTGTGTGAATCATATAGTACAATTTACCAAGTACAAAAACTCAATACAAATTACAAGCAACTTGTAAATATATTAAATTCTACTAATACTTTTCACTATTAAAAAGTTAATAAGAGTTTTACAATCCGATATATATGATCCTCTCATACAATTGTTCCCTAATTATATTTGTTGAAATATAAAGTCTTGCTATTAAATCACCTATATGTCACTGATAACCTGCACAAATAATATACAAAAGTAATTAAAAATTAATAAAATTAAAGAGTCATTTGTTTGCACAAACTGTAAAGGTAAAGGTAATATCACAGACAAGATACAAACAAAATGGTTTGTCATCTTAGTTAAAATAAAGAGTTTAAACAAAAATAGAATATAATTCATTTAATATATGTGGACGACAGAAGTTCTTCGACTATACCTTGCAAAAACACATTCTTAACCCCAATATAAACAAGGAAAATTTATTCAATTACATTGATACATGAGTAAATATGATTTATCTTATATTTCTAGTACCTCCTAACCCAACTTTAAGAAGGATTTGGTGTAGTCAAAGTGATACTCCAAGTCTGATGCCATTTTTTTCCAATTGCACTCTCATGGGATTCATGTGCAATCTGAGTAGACACAATAGCTGGAGGAGTAAGCTGCGACATTCATAGACATTTATTGTTTGTGAATGCTAAACCATAAACACTAATTGTATGTGAGTGTTGTATTCAAAGAGATTAATGCAACAAAAACATTTTTTATCAAAATTAAAAATACAAGAGGAGATGTGTGAACTAAATCAAAGCCCTTAAAAATAACAAACACCTAACCCTCTACAAGTTACCAGTGAAAACAAATTATAACAAAAGGAAAATAATTGTACAATCGGCATTGCAAATGTAACATACAAAATCTTCCACCATTAGAGTATGTTCTTAATTTATAAGTTTTAAAAATTTAATTAAATACCTTGAGACATTGACTATCATTGAGTTGACATATCTTTCAAATACATGTAAAAAGCAATGTATATGTAGCTATCAAGACAATGAATAAAAGATCCAATAAGAAGCAGTTTAGAGACTTTTTATAGCAAGTGTTGAAACTAAGTAGACTCTTAATTGGAAAACAGGCATTCCACACTAGTAATAAGCACATCACAAACATTTTAGAATAATTTTTCAATCAAAGCAAGTTTTTTCTTAGAGTACAGACATTTTGTGCCAACAAGAAGTACATCATAGACATGAAAAATTCCCAAAACTGAAATTGGGAAAATGCAGCAATAAAATCAGATCTGTGAACTAAAAATCAAATTTGATTTTTGTCTAATCGAATTGGAAAATCAAAATTTCCACCAACAATGAAAAAAATTAGATCTAGCAATGAACAAAATTAAATTTGATTTATGTCAAAAACCAAATAAAAATTTGATTTACCGGAGCGGAAGTGTAAAGTTGAAGGCCATTTGGAGTGACGTCGCAAATGAAAAAGGAAGATGAAGATGGTGGAAGAGGAAGATGAACAGGGCAGATGCGACTATGCGAGGATGAGAAAAGCTATGAAGGCTGGAGCTTTTGAGTACGGGAGTGAGACGGAGAATGGGTGCAGAATCGTTGACCGGGGAAGAAGAGGGTTCCCGCGAAGAAGAGGGGAGCTTGGTGCAATTGATCGGAATAGACAGAGAGAGAGAAGAGACTGGGTGGGTGAGAGGGATATGGGGGTGGGGGATTGGCCTTTTATATGGTGTACCCCTGGTGTACAAAACCGGGGTACACATAGCATTTTCCTGACAATTATAAAGAGCAACCCCCAAAAGATGAATGGAATGAACAATAGTGCCGTATAGGGTGCAAAAATAGACAACTAGTCTCGGGTGAGAACAACAAAACAAAGAAC